GACCCTGAAGAGTTCAACTAGATCAAGATCACATAGTTATTAGTTTTAATGAAGCAGTCTTTATGGGGGGGGGGGGGACTATAATCAATTCTAAACTTTACATAATAGAAATGTGTTGCAGAGTTTTTTTCCAAAAAATTATAGCTAAAAGTTAAAATGTCAACCATTTTACAGCTTCCTGGAAAAAAAACGGGTCAGAGGAAAACGGAAATGTAAATAATATCTGGAGAAGGAATGGCAAAAATCCATGTTCACAAACTTACAGGCAAAAATTACTGCAAAATACAATGCTAACTTCTGTTTCTAGAGTGACAAAATGTAGGTATATATCATCTTGAAAATTTAACTGATATAAACATTCTCAGCATTTTAAGGCCATATAATTTTTTGAATATGAAAAAGCATCAAATCTTACAAATTGTGAAAACTTTTTTTTAAAATATCACATCTCAAGATATTATCTAGCTATAATCTGATTTCTCAAATCTAGTTTTTATAACACACTATATCAAAGATATAACTTAAAATGCAATTTTTAAAACCTCAATGAAATGTCTAATTTTAAAAGTAGACAATAAAGCAGTTTTAACTACAGTAATTTCAATGAAAAGTGTATATATACATAAACTATAAGGTTAACAGGAATGACATTAAATGCACTGTTCTGAGTGCAATTCTGTATTTTAATGAATTTAAGTCTAGTACTCTACAGCTAAACAGTTGGATTTCATTAAGGATGAAATTTTATCCAAATCTTATTCTTGATATTAACCAATGTTTTTAGACCTTTAAAAATAGCCATTTTATTCACATGGGCTTCCCAGATGGCAGAGTGGTAAAGAACTCGCCTGCCAATGCAGGAGAATCAGGAGGCATGGGTTAAATCCTCAGTTCAGAAGATCCCCTAGAGGAGGAAATGGCAACCCACTGTAATATTCTTGCCTGGAAAACCCCATGGACAGAGTTTAGCAGGCTACAGGGAGTGGCAAAGAGTAGGACACAACTGACCGTGCACATGCGCACACACACCTTGTATTTACATGTAGATATTGTATTTACATGTAGATGTTGTAATTGTATACAGATTAGATATTGTATCTGATTTGTGTAAAAGAATAATCTTTGAAGATTACACCTCTTTTCTTTTCATTTGCATATATCTCACATGTAATTTAAAAGGCCCAATAATACCAAGTTATTGCCCCTCCACAATTGGCCTACTAACTGCTTCCAGATCACTCTCATAAAAACAACATACACGAAACACAGGCTCTTTATTTTCTACTGTATCAAAATTAATTGACTATTTCTAGGCCATAACTAATCTGACTCTTATTTACTAATTGAATGTTTTTTCTAATTCCATCACTTCATTCACTCAATTAAGCAATACATGTGGGGGAAATACCAAAATTTAAAAAGCACGGTCCCTCTGGTGCACAGTCAAAAGGGTGAAGACTTGTAAATTACTAATTACAACACAATGTATTCAGTTCTAAGCAGGGTGCTAAGTCCTTAGCTGTGTCTGACTCTGCGGCCCTGTGGACCGTAGCCCACAGGCTCTGTCCTTGAGGATTCTCCAGGCGTGAATACTGGAGCGGGTTGCCATGCTCTTCCTCAGGGGATCTTACTGGCCCAGGGACTGAACCTCCGCTCTTACATTTCCTATACTTTACCACCAGCCCCACAAGGGAGGCCGGACTGAGTCCTACAGTGGACAGAAATGCTACAGCAGGATCACAGTAACTCCGCCAGAATCAATCAAAGACAAATTCGAGGAAGTAACCTTGTCCTCAGAAAAGAGAATTTCTCTCCAAGTGTCACAGCACTGTAATATCTACACACCAGTTTCCTCATCTCTGTATCCCAGTGCTGACCACAGTGGTAGTACAGGGTAGACATGCACTTCAGACATGGATGAACAGATGAATGGATGGATTTCATTAAGGATGAAATTTTATCACAATAAAATTTCGTACATGCTCAAATAAGGTGAACTAATTTTAACTTTAAGAAAATTATAGACAACTTTCAATTATCCCAAAGTCATGGATCTGTAAGTCTACCTCCTTACATATAGTGTTCAATATCATATGTTACAGCATAACACAGCATTATTTATAGTAGGCATCCCACCTATTAGATTTACTGATAGACGTCTACTGATTTTGCCAGTCGGCCAATAGAGAGGAAAACTGGCTAGGAAAGGTAAGCTGCACCTCAGATACATTCACTATATTTTTCTGGTCCTTAACAATTTCTCTTTTCAGGTCAAATATTTTGCAGATATCAAACTGACTGCCACTAAAAAATTTGAGCAAAACAATGACAAAGAATTCACGAATGACAGTAAAAATTCTTGGCTTAATTTTGTAAGTATCTCACAGAAATCTTTTTTTTTAAAGTCAGTCTAATAGGTCCTCTCCCCACCAGTTCAAAGAAATTGCCAACACTGTAAGCTGAATGCTAGTAAATTATACCAGGTTTTCTACCATAGGCTGTTTTTTACTTCATTGATACTATATAAAGCACATTTTAAGATACCATCAACCTGTTTATCTTCATTATTTCAAATGCAAAGTGTCATAATCAGTTTACAAAATGCATTTTAAATACTTTATCCGTTTAAAAGATTAAGCAGAAACTACACATTCAAAATTCAAAGAACTGTTTTTCCTTCACATATATGAAAGGGGACAACTTTTAAAATAGATAAAATACTCTAAAAAATATTTTATAAGCTGGATTTAACTTATAATGTCTTTTTCTATAATACAGCAATACATTCATTACAATTACACATCATGGAAGTATAAAAGCCATATAAATGTCATGTCATGATGCTCTAATTTTTATTAAGACTAGAGAACAGTAATAAAGATTCAAAATGTAATGCCCTATAAATATTCAGTACTATTAGACAATAACAAAGAAAATATCAGGGCAAAAATTGTGTTCATGGAAAATTTTTTTATATTAAGTAACATCATTATCTTCACTTTTGAATGTCTATCTCAGTAGCCATTGTTCACAATCTCTGCAGTGTTTTAGTTAGTACTATTTCACCAATAGAAGAGAAAAATACCCGCTGAAAATAAGGGAAAAAACAAAGGCATTGACAGAGTAAATTTTCCAAGCCATCTCTTTTCACCATAACCACAGGACTAAACCAAGTAAATGAAAACTAAATATATCAACATTTATATAATTTTAAATTTCCTTAGTCAACACAGCTATTTTGTGCTACAGAAAAAATTTATTTTTCTATTAGTAAAACCAATGTCTTATTAGAACAAGACTGCTGGTGTACAAAGCTACCATTACCACATTGAATCGCTATCATACACGGAATTAATTATTCTAATTTCATCTTTCCTTACTATGTATATTTTTGCCTTTTCATTACTATGTATCACTTCTCCGCCCCCCCCCCTTCTTTTTTCTTCAGGTAATCAGAGTCACTGGCAAGCTGCACTATTTCAAATATCTAACACTAAAAGTGATTTTAATGGACCTGAATCCAAAGATGAGAATACATTACACATTTTATAGAAGCTCCTTTTAGTAACAGGCAAATCAGAATATTAACAAGACAACTTTTTTTTTAACAAGCTTTTTTTTTTTTTACTGACTGTAAAGGTCAGCTGAAAATTTGAAAGATACAGAAATGTATTTTTACTCATCTGTAAGTCCCACTACCCAGATCTTTGTTGACTTTTTGGTAGATTTCCTTCTAGTGAGGATAAAACTTCAAGGAACTAATTAGACACTAATAATTAAGTGGGGGGGGGAAATCAGTGTATCCTCAATACAGCCTTTCGATAAATATATGAAACATTGATTATTGATATGACTTGTTAATTTCAAAGGATTTAGGGAGTCTTTCAATTCAGACTGAATCCTAAACTGAAGTCCCTTTCACAATTTTTATAGTGTCAACATTTTAATGGCAAATTCTTACAATGATTATCAACAGTGATGTCAAACACATTTCAACATGTTTTTCTTTTTGCTGTTAAAAAAAATCAATAATGTATTTGCACAGTCATTTTAAAACAGCTTAAATTCAAAGACAAAATTCTTTGAAGCCCAGTATTCAAAACCATTAGTCTTCCTGGCCCATAAGATAATTTACCAGATAAAAGGTTACCACTTCTACATCTAGAAATCCCTTCCATTAAAAAAAAAAAAAAAATTCCTTAAATATAGCCACATTTTTTCTTTTGTTCCAACCCATTGTTTATGGAAGTATGCAGATATTAGAGATACAAAGACTGAAATGACTTCATTAACAAAACAACATCAACATTTAATAAATAAACCAACTACTTAATCTTATAAAAGAACAGAACAAAACCAATTAAATGCTAGCAAGTCCTTTTCTTACAGTATGGTTAAACCTTATTTCTAGCTTCTAGGAAGGCTTTCCTTTACTCAGGACATCAAAGATCTTAAAAAATCCCATTCATTTTCTTCTAATGGTCAATACACCTAAAATACAGTAATTTCAGATTTGTTACTCTGACCTTCTTACGTAAGAGCCTTTTAAAAGAAATCCTTCAACAAAGACTCGAGAAAGAACCAGCAAAGTTTGAGTAAACAATTGTCTAAGTCAGGCATTTCCTGATAAGTGACAGAATATCTAGTGGCTGCCAGGGATATACTTGCTGACCCTAAGAAGTCAAAACTCAAAACAAAATTTGCCACTTCTGTATCTAAAACGTTAATCTGGCTAATAAGTAAAAGGGGATAATCCATGACAACGACGTATCTCTGGTGGACACATTGATATAGAGGAGGAGCGCCATGGATTTCAGCTACATGCTTTTGCCATTTCAGCAGAAGAAAAGCTAATTGTTAACGGCCATGTGACATTATAAGATCCCAGAAAGGAAAGGGTGGGAGGAAGAGAGGAGTTCAAGGCAGTTCAGGGTCAGAACAAGCTCAGACATCCTGTCATTAGCAAACGTTCCCCAAGCAGAAGGCATAATACTGCTTACCCGAAAAGGAGTGGGTGAGAAGGGAAGAACGAGGGGAAAACCGAAGGAGAGTCCGTGTGGCACGGAGGGGGTGATGGGAGGGAGCAGATCTGGAGCTCTCCAGCCGAGTTGGGGAGCAAAAACCATCGGGCACAAAAACCCTGAGAAAAGCAACTGCGACGCAGACGACAGTACTTGGCAGCCCCTTCATCTCCCCCTCCCCATCGGTTACTGGGCTTTCCCACCTTCCCTCCACCTCTGCTCTGGCCAACACTCAGGGGTGTGACCCGCCCGCGGGAGGCTGCCCCGAGCTTTGTCTCGGCCGGCTCCCCACGCGAGGGCTCCTCCTCCTCCCGCTCCCCACCCGCGCACACCCCCGGCGTCTCCAAGGAGCTGGAAACGCGGCGGCCGCCGCCTCTTCGCCCACCTCCCGCGGACCCGCGCCCCTTCCTTCCCCTCGGAGCTGCGCCGCCCGCTCCCGCAGCTCCACCCCCGCCGAGGGGACCTTTGTGTCTCGGGAGACTTTCTGCCTCTTCCCCTCCTCGGCCTCGCGGGGAGACCGGCCTGCCCCCGGAGACCAAGACGGCAGCAAACACGGGCGCGGCGGCGGCTGAAGGCGCCTCCCGCGAAGGAGCCAGAACGTCAGACACCCACCCCCACCCCACGCCCAGGGAAGTGCCCGGGGTCCGCCCTGGACCCCAGGGACGACAGGCACCAGGGAGCCCCCTGCGCCGCGCCGCCCTCTCTCAACTTCCGACCGGGCCCGAGCCTCCCGCGCCCCTACCCAGCCGCCCGCCCCGGCCCCCAGTCCCAGGCACCCAGCGGCCCCGCTCCGCCCGGGGTCGGCGCGGCAGGAGGGAAAGCCCCGCACCGTCGCCGGCCGCCAACTCACCAGCAAGTGCGGGGGCTGCGTCCCGAGAGGAGGCGAGGGAGGCGCAGAGGCAAAGCGGCTCCGCCGACGCCCGCGGCGACCGGATGCAGGTCCGGGTCCCAGCCTCTGGCCGACCCGAGGCGCCTCCGACGCGCAGGCCTCCGCCGCCGCAGCCGCGTTTCAGCTCTCGCCGAAGAGTCCGAGCCTCCGGCAGGGGCCGCGGGTCCCTCACGCGTTGGCAAGCCCCCCGGACAACATGGCTCCCGGGCCGCCGAGTCGCGCGGACGGCCCACTAATCCCCTTGGAGGAGCCGGGGTGGGAGCGGGGCGGGCAGGGAGGCGCCGACGCCCGGCTGAGGCGGCCGGGCCGGACACGGGCTCCTTCTCTGGGGCCGCCGGACGGTGCCGAGCCGACGAGACGCTCGCCGCTGCGTGTGCGTCGCTTTCTCACTCGGCGGCTGCGGATTGACGCCTCCGCCTGTTTCCCCGGGGAGAGAGAGCGCAAGAGAAAAAAGACTTTTATTGAAACGCTCCAACCAGCAGCGGCAGAGAAAGGCGACCGGCTGCGGGAGCTTCCCCCACCCCCTCTTGAGCCGCTCGCCGCGGGCAGCGCGACCCCTGCCGGTGGCCGCGGCGGGGGCGGGGCCTGGAAGGCGGGGCGGGGTATCCCCGGGAAACCCCCACCCCGAGGTGGGGGCCCTCCGCCTCAAGGGCCCCGCTTCTGGGGCGGCGAGAGGGCGGCGGGAGAGGTGATGAGACCCCACGGGGGTGAAGTTAGGCAGTGCCTGTCCACCTCGACTAGGAGAAGAAATCTGACTGGCTCAGCCCCTTCATCTTTCAACATCCCCCCACCAGCACAAAAACTGTGGCTTAAATTATCCAAGTAATTATGTAATTTAGATACCATTGCCACAGTTCTCTACTCGTTCTCCAGAAAGCTGATGTCAAAGGACCCACACCTGAGCTTGATTGCTGCAACTTTTCTCCTTTATTGTGGGAGGCTGGGTGAATACGAGAGCAGCAGTCACTCACACAGGCAGCATTTATTCAGTTAAACTACAATCTCCTTTATATTATGTTTTTGACAATATAGTAGGTCCTTAAAGGACTGAGAGTCTCACTGGCATGAAAGATATGCCATAGCAATTACAATAAAAACCCGAGCTTTCTGAGAAGGGAAATAGAAGGTGCTGTGAGGACAGAAAGGAACTTCTGTTGCTGAGCTGGTTAGGTTTTGTTTTCTTGGAGGAGGGGGGCCGGAGAGAGGTTGGCCCAGTTTATGTAAATGTTTTTACTTTCTTCTCTCCCAGAGGCTAAAAGCTAGTTCAGGAATGAAGAGCAGAGTGAAAGTGAAGACAAACTGAAGTAATACTGACCCACTTTTTTCCTTTAAAAACTATAAAAGCATAAAGTAAACACAAAAACATAACCCCCTAGAGGGAGATCATGAGAGGACTGAAAAGAGAATGGAAACCGGATGTAGACAACCTAAACAAGAAAAAAAAAAATTTTTAAACCACATAAAAGGCCCGGTGAAGTGAGATATAAATATTTTTCCATTGTAATGCCCAGAAATAGACTTACTAAAATTTTAATGTAATTTCAAATCACATTATGTCCTAAGGACTTCTGACAATTATCTTCTTGGATTCCTGGGTGAATCTTTTCTCCCTAAAAGTAATGTCTGCCGATTTCTCTTATTTTGTTGGACCAAACTGAACATATCTACTGTAATATTCAACAATCAGACATTTCTATCTAGCCACTCCCATACATCTAAAATTATCAGAATCCATAAGTTAGCAGCATTTATGCTCTACACATATTTAACACTTGCTTATCATAACAAGAACACAAATATATAACAAGCTGTCCTTTAGAACAAGTGGGCTTAAACAAAACTGTGATTGACGCTTTTTAAATTTGTCCAAGTCAAAGAACTTTGTAATATGGCAAGAAATAGCATGATTCAGAGATCTTTTAAGGTTGGAAAGACAGAAAAGTTGGTATTTTTATAAGACCTACTTACATACCAAGTATTTATCACACCCTAGTGGCTCAGACAGTAAAGCGTCTGCCCACAATGCGGGGAGACCCGGGTTCGAAAACCTGGGTTTCTTTTCCCCTGGAAAAGAAAATGGCAACCCACTCCAGTACTCTTGCCTAGAAAATTCCATGGATGGAGGAGCCTGGTGGGCTACAGTCCGTGGGGTCTCAAAGAGTCGGACACAACTGAGCGACTTCACTTTCACTTGCCTTATTTAAAAAAAATAATTGTACGTCTTTTTTTGGACTCTTAGTAATGTTAAAAATCATAATAAAAGTAAGTTGACAAAATAATATCCTGAGTTACACATGAATAATTCCCCCTTCTATCATTATATTAGAATTACTCCATTGTAAATCAAAAGATTATTCTAATTGCCCCATCTAAAGCTGGTGAAAAGTACCTTTTCCTCTTCCTACATCTTTTATTACAATAAGGATTGCATAATTAGAGCTTAGTTAATGATTGTATCCATCTATTTGTTCTTTCCATCAAAAAAATGTACTGATTACTCCTGATGTGCCAAGCACTGTTCTAGGCAGTGAAAATATAGAAGTGAACAAGAACAACAAGATATAGCCCTTATGGAACTGTTTGTTAGTGGTAGAAACAAGCAATAAACATGTAATCACTTAAGGAATTCATAATTCATAATCATGAGAAATTAATAAAAATGAAATAGTAATGGAAAGGAAATTGATAGAACAGGATAAGTGGTGAGGTGAGGAAAGTCTTAATTATCAACAGAGGCTGAAAGCCATGGGTTCTTTCTTTGTATCAACTTAGTAAATTATTTAATCTAGAAAATATCACATAAAAAAACAAATGTGGTATTTACGTACAATGGAATATTATTCAGCCATTAAAAAGAAGGAAATGATGCTACATATGGATGAAACCAGAGAACTTTACCCTAAGTGAAATAAGCCAATCACAGAAGCACAAATGCTTCATGATTCCATTTATATGAACTATGACAGACAAATTCATAAGCAGAAAACAGGAGAAGGATTGCCAGGAGCTAGAGGGTGTAGGAAATGGAGAATGCTATTCAGTGGGTATAAAGTTTCAATTATGTAAGATGAAAAAGTTCTAGAGGTCTGCTGTACAAATTTGTGCCTATAGTTAACAACACTGTACTGTACCCTTAAGAATTTAAGAGGGTAGATATCTTTTAATCTATTCTTAAGCAATTGTAAAAAAAAAAAAGAAAAGAAAAAGTCACATTCAGTCAAAATGGGTGTGTGCATTTAGTTAATTTTTAAAACCATTTTAAAATTCACACGTCATGATTTTGGCATGGTTGTAACATAGATTTTTTTTTCTAGCCTTGTAAAATAAAGTTAAATGATAAAAGTTATAAATCATCTCCCAAACTGTGCTTAATAGATATTTCCTAGAGCTTGGTGGGCTTCCCAGATGGCTCATGGGTAAAAAAATCTGCCTGCCAAGCAGGAGATGCAGATTTGATCTGTGGGTAAGGAAGATCCCTGAGATGGAAGGGTGGCCATGGCAACCCACTCGAGCATTCTTGCCTGGATAATCCCATGGACAGGGGAGCCTGGCAGGCTGCAATCCATAGGGTTGCAAAGAGCCAGAAGCCACTGAGGCAACTCAGCACACAGAGTTTGGTGGGAAAGGTTCGAGAAGGGTTTCAAAGTCAACCCAACTACTTAATCTCTTTTGGAAATTCACAATGCACATTTATATATTAAAAACTCTGAAAAGTCCTGACGCCAAAAGTAATTTTCTCTCCAGCTGAACCAGTGTATCCCAAAATGTTCTGATCCTAGAGTAGCTTTATCACAGGACATACATGAAAATATTGAGGAACATGCAATTGCTGATGAGTGGTTTGCAAAACTGCTCTCTTAAAGCCTGAGACATTTACTCTTCAGCCTCAGGAAAGGGGATCCTTGAAGGGGAGAATCTGAAGGTCATTGAACTTTGCACAGGGTGTAGACAGAAAATCTTTTCTCTGATTCACACTTTGAGAGTGACATAGCCTGGAAAACAAATGTGAAACATGACCAGATAAAATATGGAAAAAAGAAGCTGGTTTTCTTAAGCTGGTTTTCAGTTGCCTTACATCAGTGGTTCGCAAACAATGATCTCTAAACCAGCAGCAGCAATATCACCTGGGGATTTCTTAGAAATGAAAATTCTCAGGCTCCACCTGATACCAACTGAATCAGGAACTCTGGGATGGAGCCCAGCAAGCAGTTTTAAGTCTGCTGGATTCCAGTAAACAACAAAGTTTGAGAACCACTTGTATATACAACATTAATATATAG